GAGCGTTTACAATTTCTGCACATTCAATTCATTTATGTATTCATCATATTTGCAGTCGATTCGTTGGACAAAGGGCACGATGGATTTTTATTCGGAATATTTTTATAACTTTTGATGAAACTGGAAAATTAAAATTTATCTGGTGCTTTGTTACAACGACGATCGCGATGGGAGGTAAGACCGTCTCGGCGCGCGAAGACAAGTAGAAAATGAAAGCAATTTTAACAGAGTGCGGAAAAATCAATGGGAGTAGTGTACAGGATAAAGCGAGGAGGTTCAAAGGAATGCACTTTGTTCTCGGAAGCAATTCGAGGGGATGTTTATTTAAATTTTCAGGTAATTTACATCCACTTGCCGTGGCGAGTATCGCTTTCCATCTCCCCCTTTTTTTCCATTCCGCCCGAGTGCACTCTTATTTAAATCATGATATTTGTCTTCACGCCATCAAGATTCCTTAACAGATATAAATAAATTACCTTAGCAGATCCGTAAAATATGAAGCAGTTGAATATTTAATTAAATATCTTATTTATTCGTAATTTATGTTTCCACTGCAAAGATAGAGATAGGAAATTTTGCAAACTGAAACACAACAAAACAAATCTCTGAATAATAAATTAAATGGAAACTGACGAGAGTGAAAACCTTGGGAAGGCTACATTGAAACGGGCATTCCGAGGGATGAGAAAGTCTTGGTTATTAAAAGAGAAGTCTAACCTATTTAACGATCCAAATAATTTATCATATATCCGACATCAAAGATAAGCTTTCAGAATGTTTTAAATAAAGCATACACCCACAGTAGCTACCTGTCCCCAAAGAATCTTAAAGGATGAAGAAAATCAAGCTTGCAGTCGCTGTTAAAGGCAGTGAGATGTATAGATGTAGAGAGGGACGAACTCTTGTAATTCCCCGTGGAATGAAAAGGGTGAAAGTTGCCTTCCTGTAACCATTCGACGTCGAATCTTTATTTAAATTTTAAAGCTTTTTACTACCTACACGCGCATACTTTTGTGTCAGTCTTCGTCCTCGAAATCTGACTAAAGCTAGCTATTCTCAAAGGGGCACGATAAAAAGATTCTCGTTTTGGAATTGGCAATGTTGTATCAAAATTTAAGATATTTATTTAAGAGACTAAAAGGATTTTGTCGTTAGCTTAGCAATAAATAATCAGTAGGAGGAAACTACCGCGATTAGAAGTAGAAAAACTCTGCTCTTTAAAGATCCTTATAATCCTAAAATCCTAAGTTTATCTTTACTTTACTTCGAGTTGTTGAGATATTTTTATCTAAATACAATCATAACTTCTCTCACACTTCTGTTGCTATTCTCCTCACATATCTCGGATTTCTCTCTCGCACCTTGACCCAGTTACTGGCTCCACTACTTCACTCTAGTCAGACAGTCAGGCGGCCGAAAGAACGAACAAACTGACAATACAATGACCCATTGATTTTAAAAACAGAAGTAGAGTATATTTCTTATGTTAATCGCATTTTTAACTCTATTGGGATTTATGAAATCCAAAATTGTTTGTATACACATGAGGTGATATTAAATGGTTTTAATACATATTTTAATTAGATTAAAGTAAATTAAGATAAATAATGCTTTTCTTGCTGCTGCTTCCTTTATATGTGAAACGATTTTCAATCGAGAATTTCAATATAATTTTTTTGTATACAGGGTGAGTTTTAGAACATGACGACCGTAAGTAACTTGCAAGTTATTCGTACGAAAAAATGTTTTAAACAAAAGTTGTATAGTCCAGATGGACAGTTTTTTTGGGAATCTAGTAAGAATAAAAAGTCCATCAAGAAATCATATGTATGCACGTTCTCAAGTACAACTGCTGGTCATTTTCAGAGTACCATTTAAATCTGAATCCTTCGTCGCAGCTGCATCGACGTTTTGATGAAACAGCTCGAATATCGAAATAAATGTTCGATTCCACGTCCGTTAAAAGTTAATACGCCGTTACGACGTAACGGATTCCGTCATTAGAAACGACGGTCCATCGCCGGTGTGTAAAGCAGCGAAAAATGGGCCGCCCTCACCCGTTGCCGGTTTTAATCCAAGGAACGTTTATCGAATTTCCATAAAATATCGCCGAGGCATTCGTCTTCATTCATTTTCTGTCGGGTTGCCAGGGACCGTTTTAAACCGTTGACGCACGTTTCCAAGCCGGTGCCGGCCGTTGTTCCAACCCCGTTGTCTTTAATCGAGCATCTTGACGGTAATTTGCCCCTTAATTGCCCGGCGCCCGCGGCGCGTAAATCAAAACTCGACCGGGGAATACTCGATGAAAACGAAGAAGAAACGAGGAGAGTAACAGGATAAGAACTAGCACTGAGGCTCGAGGAAAAAGTTCAAACGAGTTTACTTTTTATGAAACTAGTTGCTGTTGCATATTGAATTATTAAATGCCTAACGAATCGTGGTATAAATCAACGATAAAAAATCCGCAGAACAGTAAGAGTACATTAATACAGAGTGTTTCTTAAATGGTAGGCAAATCTTTAGGAATAAATTCCTAATGATTAGAGAAGACAAAAAAGTTATATTAACATACGTTCGGAAATTATTAATTTCTGAGTTATTAAAGTTTTTGTATCACAATTCTCGTCACATCGTTTTAGAGGAACTGTTCAATATGTCAACTTGTCTTATTGAGTTCCAAACGCGCTCCATTTCTAGTATGGCGCGTATCGTCTGAAAAGCTGATATAATTCAGTCGCAGAGAGTTTCTACGTCATCTATTGCAGAAGAATAGCCTAAAGACTTTACATAACTCCATAGAAGGTAGTCCAATGGGTTTAAATCTGGTGAGCATTGAGGCCAAGCAATTGGTCCACCTCTATCAATCCACTTATCAGGAAACATTTAATAACTCAGAAACTAATCATTTCCGGTTCTTTGTTGATATAACTTCTCTAAGCATTAGGAATCTGTTCCTAAAGTTTTGTTCACCATTTACGAAATACTCTGTATAGTTTATTTGTGCTCCAGGCTCGTAGCCTATTACAAAGAAGGTTATTCTAATAATATATTTTTCAACTTTTTCCTAATGTTAATTATCTTATTATTAGTTTAAACGAGTCGAGCTTAGTCTAATTTATATATCTAGTTTATCATAATAAAAGCTCGTTTAAGTTATGTACAGTAATAGTTGTCTAATGAGGCGAGATTCCTTATTTTTATTACTGATCGCACGTAATGGAATATTCTTTTTGCTTTCTCCACTGATAAATAATCAAAACTTGGGGAAAGTGCTTTCTTCTGACTCCCCATGCATATCCTTATTCATACTGCAGATATACCGATATAAAGTGCTTTAAAACTTCTCACGTTGCATAATGGCCGATACTCTAGTAAAAGTATATTATGTAATTCGTTATTGATGAAACAACGGATTCTAACATCTGTTACTCGGTGAAATAGAGATGTTTCGTTGATCGTTTTGTTCTCGACTTACCAGGGCGTACGGACGCGTGTTTCGTAGAGATTTATAGACACGGAACAGTAACGGGTATCGATCGGTTGGCCACCGGCTTGTATCGGTAGTAATTGGAACATTTATGAGCCAATCAATCACTTTTCTCGTTGCAGTTCCCCCGATGCTGTGGATACCGCACCAATTGGTCGGCGCGCCCTTGGGCTACGCGGTAACGTTGGAATGCCACACGGAGGCGCATCCGACTTCTTTGAATTACTGGACTAGGGAGGACGGCGTGATGATTCACGAGAGCAACAAGTACAAGACCACTTCAACCCCCGAGAAACCGTCTTACAAGACGCACATGACCCTCACGATATACGATCTTCAGGTAGATGAATAGCGTTATAATTGTTTCATAGCTTATAAGTATACTGCTTAACTATACTTGCATTTGATGAAACGAACGAGGACATATGAAGCTTAGAAGTACATTGCTTATGCTATAACTGTACTTGCATTTAAGAATGTATAGTCTATATACTTAA